TGATGGATAAATTTATGGTGGGTCTCAACATTTGAATTAAATTAAAAATTCACCAATAAATTTATATAACACATCACCGATTCTTAAATATGGTACCGGTGCTCATTAGATCATTCTTGAATATCAACATATATATATGCACACACAAATGTATGTCTATAAATTTTTATATTATATATAAACATGTGTGTACATATTTGTAAACTATTCTCGACGCAATCCCTTTAAGATCGCTGCCTGTTTAATAAAACACAGTTAGGCAGTTACAAGTCAATCTTGTTGGACATCAAATCATCCTTGATGCCATAATCCCCTATATATGTGTGTGTGTGTGTTAAAAGGTTGAGGATACTCTTGCGTAGAATCATACTTTAATTTACTTACAACTTTGCAAGTAAATATATCTATGAAACAAATGATCGCATATTCTATCACTATGATGACTACTTATGTACGTGAAATCAAATTTATTCCTTATATTTGTTAATCACTTTCGGCATAGTGGTTGTCATCCCTTTTCTGGTGCTATTGGGTACACAGTATACATAGTACTTGACTTAACATGTAATGAATAAGAATTTTTTATATTAGTGTTGAACCCTCTGAAAAATATGATTTGTGAAGGAGCTGACGAAGGAGGGAAAAATATTATTTGCTTGCCTATTTTTAGCTTACTTTGTTTTAATTTTAATTTATTACTTTCGTGCACTTTATATCTTTAGGGTGTTTCACATCCTTAATTAGGTTAGGACTTTTTTTATAGGATTATTATTGATCCACTGTATAGTTTATCGTTTTATTTGAATAAATTTGATAATCGAATAAAATTTGGAACTATTCTTGTCGAATTTTTGACATTCTTGTTAAGAGTCAATGATCTCTCAAAAATATTCAATTATTTGCAAAATCAAATAATTTTCGATGCTTCGTGCTTCTGCTAAATTAAATAGGATAAGTTTGGTTCACATTATTACAAAGAACTATACGGTATATTTGACATTTATAATTTCTTTTTTTCCAATAATTTGTGCCTTTATCTTCCAAGATATTGAGGCATTGGCAGAACGTGTGATGATTTATTGTGACTTGTTGCAGTTATCAAGAATGGAGTAATTTAGTGTGCATGATTGAGTCTGAAAATCTTACGGGATTCCTAGATCTCTTTTTTGTGTAGTAATTAATGTGAACACATTAAATATTCCTCTGAATCCATTTCTAGCCATGGTCGAAGATTTTATTCTTAAATTAATTAATTAATTTGGAGGGAGAACTGTTCCACTGATTTTGTATCTTTGTATAATTAACAAGATATACAACTGGACATGGGACCTTGGAAACCACAATGGAACTTTTGACCCCACGTGCAAAGATGCTGCTTGAATAGATCATTTCTTTTTTCCCTTGAAAATTATGCATATAACTCAAGAAAAGAACCCTCAAGCTCATCTAGATTACAAAGAGTGCAAAACCTGGCTAAGGTAAATTTTCAATCATTCATATATGATATTTGGGAAATGAGTGTCTAAATTTTTGTATGTTAGTCAATTTTTATACTTAATTAATGTGAGATTTTACTTTAATATGCTTGCAAGATGGTGGCCTTTTTGAGTTTTAAACAATTGAATTATTCATTCTAACCTTATGGATTATGATATCATATCTGAGTTTTCATCTTAAAATTTAACTTGATTAAGAAGGATATCTGAAACTCTAATATGTTAATTAGAATTTTTATATTTATCTGATATAAAATTCCAACCTTAACATCACGATCTTTCAATTTTATTTTCATTTATCCACTCAATATGAGAAGTCACCAACACTATTAGGACTTGGGGTATTATCTTAAAGGGTCAAACTTAGTAGAAGAATATTATAAGTTGATATATATATATATATATATCAAGATGAAAAGAATCACACAGAAATTCAAGATTTAACATGAAAATCCAAATTCGGGCAAAGAATTCAATATAATCAATAACAAAGAATACAAAAGGATCTCGCACGTATCAAAATAAGCGAGTCTCTCTCCTTGTAAGTTAGATCCTCTCACTTTGATGTTCTCTCAATGCTATACAATATTTTACCACTCTTACAAGGATATCAAGGTTATACATTATGTTTTGAGTACGTATAGGAACTCATTAAAAGTGTTTTGGATGAATTACAACTCAAGAAACAAAACAGAATCGAAAATAGATTCCCGTCCAAACAACATTGCTACTCAAATGCCGCTCCTGAAGCGAATGCTGGCTCCTACTTTTTGGTTCGATTTCACCCCGGATGCTCAAACGCCAAAGCTAGCAGCCAGCTAGTGAAAATGCAACGACCTTTTCTCCACCAAAACTCCAAAACCAAGTCTTCAATTATCCAAAGTCCTTTTACAAGTCAAATTTTCAATCCTTGATGAACTTTGATAAATTTTTCAACCAGACATTCAAATTAAGAAAACTTGTGTTCCTCTCCAACACAATCCTAATCCTATAGGAATTTGAATCATACTCCAACAGTTTAATCTTGAAATATGCATGCTCATTTTTTGAGTTTTAATCGGATCAATATATGTGTGTACTGGGGGAGGGGGCAATTTGTATGTATGAAATTATAATCGCATGCAAGATTGATTGCACTTTAAGAATCTGATAGGAGAACTTATAATTATTTATCCAATAAGCTTCTCATATATTATAGGAAGAACATCTTTTTTAAAAACCCACACCCCACCACCACAGAGTTGCTTCCTAGTAAAGGGAAATGATGAAATAAATAAAATTAAAAGGATAATGTGTTTGGTAAAAAACATGATCTCCATAACTTTATCATTGAAGATTGATTATCAATATTTATACCTACTTTTAAACAAAGACAGGGGGAAAGTTTGGAAGAATTAATGATGGATGTTGGAGGTAAACAATATATCTTCTGTTCTGCTGTCTCACTTTTTGTTCGCTTAATTATCAAAAAACACGAAGGAAAAAGGTAGTAGTTTAGTTACGGAATTGTAAAAAGTCTTGATGTATTATAGGATGGTGGTTTACATGAACTACAACACTTGAAAGCTGTCTATGGTGATATAATTTCATCATATATGTATTTTGAGAACAATTTATGATTTCAGTATTTAGAATTAAACTTGAGAATGCTAGTTGTGATAAAAATGACACAAAATGCAGTGGAAATATTAAATTAAAAATAATAATTTTTTAATAAATTTAAGATTTGATTTTAAAAACTGTTTAACAGTTATCAGATAATAAAAATAAAGAAATCAATCAAGATAGATGTAATTTGTAATTACCTACTCTATTTGTTTATTAAAGTTGATGGTAAAAAATTATGTTTCAATTTTTTATCAACTTTTAGGGATTTCGGCTGAATAAAAGTGTTATAACGCTGGAATTTAGTAATTTTACATGGATAACTTGAGTTCGGATCCCCTTCTATTCATCATTTATCTTCTTATATAGGTTGATGGACTCGAACTTGCTATTCTAATTATGTCAAGCTACAATTTTTTGACCTAGGGTTGCATGTCGCCCCCCATTTCAATTGAATCTGATTGGTTGGTGAGGTTGTGGCAAAGTAATCATGTGACCTATGTCTTAGCATGTATCCTCAGCCATCATGTCATCTTCCAAATTAGTTGATTTGAGAGGTGTTATATATATCATGATGATATTTTCATATAACGTCTCTAATAGTTTGATTTCAACCTCTATCGACTTGGTCATGGAGCCGAATTGACGTGTTCGGACTATTAAACACTTTTGAGCAAGTCAAGGAGAAATCTCAACTTATTTGACGTGAATATCATGTTGGCAACTACATAATTTGAAAAGCGGAGGTCCTTACTGTTTCAAGTGTCACTCAGAACTTCTATGAGTGGTGAATTCTTCT